ACTTCTTTTCCTCTGTGGTGCAGTGCGCAAACGACGTTGTCGATATTCGTGGATACCGTGAATGCGGTGAACAAGGTTGGCTGGTACGCCAAATACACGGGTAAGCACTCCACCTCTTCTGCGGGGTGTGTGGCGTGCACACACACGCGTTACATTGCTCCACAGACGGGAGGGGGGTCTAGGGTTTTGACGGCGTTCCATTTTCCAACGGCAACGCAGCCCAGAGGATGGGTTGCATCTGGTTGATAGCGGAGCGCAGCGAGCTCTTGAAGCAGTATCTCTGCAAGCTTCTGGTACGAAAGTTCATCCCTGATGAATCCTTCGGCGATCTCGCACGACAGGACCTGTCTGGCCGGTCGATGTTGAGTTGTTGTGCTGGTGGTGATGATTGACCATCTCTCTCTCTCTCTCTCTTTCTAGGAAACGGTCAAGGCTTGGACCGTTTTAGAGACGGAGCCGCAAGGGAGAGAGGAGTCGCTCATGTGCGTCATCCTCTGCCATTGCCCCGCCCTCACAGATGTCACACTCCGGTACCCGTCCGTCTGGCGCTGCTATTTGACCCGCGGGCCGCTCACGCCTAGAGTGCACTCTGCGAATTAGCAACAATCCGCGGTTCACGGGCGAGTCGGCTTGCAAGTGGCTCAAGGACCACAAGACGCCACTCCACGCGCTCGACTTGTCCGGATGCGACCAACTCAGCGATGCACTCCTCGATCTCCTGCCTACGTCTGTCCATGCGTACGTCCCCCGCAGTTGTATGGTCATTGGTGTGCTTAGCAGGATTCGGTTTGTACACGTGACGACACAGGAAATCGCTTCAATCCTTGTGCCTCGACGGCGCTGTTTTGCTGTCCAAGGCCGCCCTTGTGGCTTGCTTCACGCCCGCTGAAGATGAACCCGATCGCTGGCAGGCCCTCGGCCAGCTGCACCTGGCCGGAATACCGGCCGTTGACCCCGAGGTTGGTTGCAAGCCGCGGCAGTGTGTCCCCTTTGTCCCGCAGGGCGCCCGGTTGGTGCATTCTCTGATCTTTTGGAGGTGGGGGCCGTCATTAGGTGATCGAAACGGTCTGCCGGTCATGCGTGGCATTGAGGGACTTTAGCTTCCTGGAGACGTCAGCCGATGACTCGGCCCTCGCACACATTCCCACGGATATGCGCAAGGTAAACTTCTCTATCGCGCTCACTGCGGTGCTTTACTGCGCAGAGGGTGTAGTACTCACGGCGAACGGGGAACGTGCGCGCCAGGTGTCGATCGGCGGCAGCGTGGGTATCCCAGCGCTCACGACATTTGTTGGAAGCTGCCAAGGACTGACCCGCCTCTCGCTCAAGGTATGTGTGCGAATCTACCACCCCCGCCCCGCGAAACAAACAAACAAACAAGAACCTTCGCTCATGTGCGCACAAACTCCGACTACTACGTCAACCAGGGTTTGGGCGTGCCGTACAATGAGATCTTCCATCTGGCCAACGCGCTGCCCTCGCTCGAGGAATTCCAGACCACCACTGGTGCGTGCACGCTCGTTCGTTCGTTACATGATGGCTGGGCAGCTTCTCAACTGACCCGGAATCGGGGTAACCTCAGGTTCGACGTTCCTGTTCACCGGCAACTCGCCGGCGGTTATACGGTTCTCGCCCCAGGCCAACCTGTTCCAGCGCGAGCACACGGACGGTGTACGTCTCACTGCTGCATTTGGTCAAATCATTCTCCGGCCAGCGTTGATGTATTGTTTACTCCCAACTAACGATCACGAGCAGAAACGCGAAATCCTGTACCACGTGCACCACGGAGCGGCGGCGTTCCTGCGAGGAGAAACCTCGACATTCCACCTTCGTAATGCGAACCTGCAGTACGCCATGCTCCAAACTGCCTGCTTGCTGACACTTGGAGGCCACATATATATATATATGTATATATTGTGGATGATGGCTGATACGTTGCGTTGGCCATAACAGCAAATCCATCGCTGACACAGTGCATACACTCACGCAAGCTACGTTCAACCCGCACTCCCAGCCGGGCAACCTCATCCGTACGTAGGCCAGGCTTGAGTGCTCTGTGTCAACGCGTGCCTCGGCACACTCGTGCTGATGCTGTTATGGTCACATGCAGGTCCCTTGGTTCCCGGCGTCACTCACCTCACTGCGCTCTTCTACAATTCCTCCATGCGCAAGGTGGAGTCTCGTCCGCCCCATATCATCAGCATCAATGGCGGATACATGAATAGTACGTGCAAGGCATCTCACCTGTAAGATAGGGGTTGTCCACTCTCACCTGACGACAACCCATATATCTTTCTCTTCTCTCTCTCTTCTCGTAAACAGTCACAGCCTTCACCGAGCACGTGTTCAACGTAGCTCCGCGCCAGAACTTGACCGTGGTCCTCGCGCTCTACTTCCAGCTCGTCCTCGCCAAGTGAAGCACGTGGCCGGGATGCATACCGCACTGGGTCTCATCGCCAAGTCTGCCATTCAGACAAATGTTGCTTGGCTGCAAAAAGTACACACACACTACTGCTAGTAGAGGCGTCGCTCTTTGGCTGCGTCGGCTGGTGTGAGGGACAGCGAAACTGGCACAGGCAGCGCCAGTGGCACGTCGTTCGTGATCAAACCACCTCCGCCTGCACAGGTGGTAATCATGATTAGCGCGGGATGGAAGATCCTAGGTGGAAAGGGACTAATGAAAGGCGGGTACCGGGCGGTGCGGGGGCAGAGAGCATATCGGCATCGGTCTCGCCGCCGGCCTCAGCGGCCTCAGAGCTGGCCTTGCGCTTCCTTCCGCGGGCTTCGTCGGTGAGGCGCTGCGGCGTGATGATGTTGTCCTCGGATATCTGTGAGAAGATTTCCTTGTTTTCTTTGTTTCTGTGTTGTGGAGGCGTGCGTAGGAGGGAGTGGGAGAAAGGTAAGGTCCCTCGCTCACAACCAGCCAGCCAGACTGGCGCGAGGAAAGAGAGAGATACCGAAGCCGCGAGCTGCTCCGGGTGCTTCGCGATGCTGATGGAGACGTCTTGCGGCGCGCATCTCGCTTGCTCCGTTGCTGCTGTTCCTTTTGCTGGCAAGCACGGCATGTTAGGGTTGTTTCACGGAAGTAATGGCGGTGCTGTGCGGGGCGGGGCGGGGGCGGAAGAGCTCGTACGTGCTTCTCTTTGAAGGCAGCGGTGACGCTTCGGGTGATGGGAGCGTTGTCGTTGAGCAGGCGCTGCGTGCGGGCAAGCTCCTTCTGCTCTTTCTTGCTGACCTTGCCCACGGGCTGCTGCACCAACACGGGCAGCTTCTTGGGCAGATTACCGTCCACTGCACAGAGTCAACAGTGCAAAGGCGTAAACGTTTCAGGTGAGCGAACCCTGGTCAAAGGCAGGCGATGAGGGAGGGGAGGGGAGGCCGTACGCGGGACCCACTTGTAGAGCTTGAGGTGCCCGACGGACACCCACTTCTTGGTCCACTTGCGCACCTTGGGCAGCTCCTCGCGCGGCTCCTCGTGCTCTGCCTCCTCCTCTCCTCCTTCGCCGGCGTCCTCCGGCTTCTCTGTTGTGTCTCCGCCTTCGCCTTCGCGCCCTTCCTCCTCCTCCTCCTCCCCCTGCTCATCGCGCGACCGCTCCGCCTCGTCCTTTTCGTTTTCTTCGTTTTCGTTCTTGGTGTGCTCTTCTTCCTCGAGGCCGTCGCCCTCGCCTTCGGGCCTCTCCAGGTCCATGTCCTCCTCTCCACCTACGACGTCTTGGCCACCTGCTGCTGGTTCCTGCTCCTCCTCCTCCTCCCCCTCTTCCTCTCCTCGATCGCCGGCCTCGGCGGCCGTTGGCTCCGCGCTCTCGGGCAACAAGCTGAGTTCTTCACCACCACCACCACCACCATTGTCGTCACCGGCCCCAGCGTAATCCTCCTCTTCCACCTCTCCTTCATCTTCATCATCTTCGTCATTATCGTCTTCACGATCGCCTTCGGGCATGTCAAAGGTTGGGAGGAGAGCCTGCGGTGACGGTTGGTCATTGTCCCCATCCACAGCCCCGGCAAGTTCGGCCGTGAGGAGTGAGGCGTCGCCTTCATCCGCGCTCCCCAGCATTCCGCTGTCCTCGCCCATGAACTGGTTCAGCATTGCCTCCATATCCTCTGAAATGGCGGTAAATGTGATAATTACATATTTAATGGGAACGTAATATGAACAGCATTGCGGTTTAAAGATTAAGGTACCCCCATCACCAAAAGTGATCTCGCCTTGGGCCTCCCCGACAAAATCATCGCTCGGTTCCATCAGTGTGTGTTTTGGCTTGCGGGCGGTAGAAGAAAAAGAAAAAAGAAAATGACAGTATGAATGAATATCTGGAGGAAAAGAATCTTGTTCCCCGCCATTGCCGCACATCATCTCGACAGCGCAGTCGGTCGAAGATGAACTACGAACAGACTAAACGCTTCTTACTGGTACGTTGGTGAGCCTGCTTTTATACAGTCGAATCGGCCCCTCGCGCTCACTTGATTTTGTTCAACTTGATTGGTGTGTGGCGCAAAATTAGACAAGCCTGCGTCGCGCGGATGCCTCGAATGACCTCGAGAAGGCCAAAACTGCCATCTTGGCCGACCTGAAGGAACTGCACATCAAGAAGCAGAAGCCCGAACAACCCTCTGCCGCTGCGTCTGCATCAGCCCCAACAACTGCGGCTGCCGGAGCGTCTTCGAGTAGTACGACCGACCAAGATGTCAAGGACATTCTCGACTACGCTCTCCAGGTAGTCCTCGCTGAAGTCTGCGTACGTTCCTCACCTTCTCCCTCTCCCCGTTCATGTGCATTGTGCTGTTGTTTGCGGGTTTCGAGCCAGGGAGTCTCCAGCGAGGCCCAGACTGGGTCCTCCAGGATATTTCCTCACGCTCTCCTTTCTCCTCGTTGTGGGGGTGGCATGATCGTCAGCAACGCCACGACAAGGGCGAGGGTAGCGGTGGCGGTAGCAAGATGGAAGTCGAGGGAACGCCTGCCGCAACAACTCGCAAGTACGAAGACGTCGGGTTGCTGATCGATATCGCGCTGTGGCTTGGGCGCGAGAAGGTGATCGAGTCTGCGGCACCGCTGGAGTTGGTGCGCGATTTCTTCCTGTCCCATACGATCGAGGAATGCCAGCAGTTCTTTGCGCTGCTCGAGGATCGCGCCGATCAGCTCTCTCGGGCCATCATCGGGGATTCGCGCGCCAACAATACCCTCCTGCGAGCGCTCTCCGAGGTCCGTAAGCGGCTCTCCCGCACGAACGACCTCGTCTTTGCCGGTCGCATCCTGATGTTCATGGCCTACGCGTTCCCCCTCTCCGACAAGTCAGGTACGCTTCGCGACTTGCGCAAACACCTTTGCCCCTCTCTAAGCTGCTAGCGCTCAACTCTCCACCACTTCGTGCGTGCGTGCGTGCGTGCGGTTTGTTCCTTGAACAACAGGCGTCAATCTCAAGGGTGAAGCGAATGTGGCCAACGTCACCACAATGGACAAGGAGCCCAGTCCAGCCCTCGAAGAAACCCCCGAGGACAGTACGTGTGGCGCTCTCTAAGATG